CCAGGGAGGTGGTTGAGGCCCCATCCTTGGAGATATTCAAGGCGAGGCTTGATGAGGCCCTGGGCAACCTGGTCTAGTTGGGGGTGTCCCTGCTGACTGCAGGGGGGTTGGACTAGATGACCTTTGGAAGTCCCTTCCAGCCTGGACAATTCTATGATTCTATGAACCGATGACTGGCATGTCCCATGTCATGAGAGAAAGTCAAGGGGAAGGGTGACAGTAACCTTTCTCTTCTCTGCGTCTGAGTGCAAAGAGGTGGCTGAGAATGGGCCCTGGGCTGAGGGTGTCGCGCTGGTTGCCCCTGGGCTGGATGTTTGCTGTTCCATGGCAATTCATCAGCATTTCATTTATGGCAGACTCCTAATAACTCAGCTTGTTTTCTTTTCACAAGCTGGTTCTTCATGCGCTTAGTCAACAGACAGGAAGTTAAAAATCTACATAGGGTTGTTGCAGAGCTGTTCAGCTGCTGGTGGCAAAAGTCCTGTTGCTGCCAGCGTGACCAATAGAGCAGGATTTCCTGTGGGGGCAAATATACTTTCTCTTACTGCTTTTGGGTCCCAAGAAGACAAATTGCACTGAAACTCTGATACTGTCAAAGCCATCGACCTTTATCTTTAAGCCAAGATTTCCAAGCACCCCAAACCCAGCTGTCCCACCCGGGTAGCAGACTGGCTGCTCACTTTTCTGGTGAGGCTGTACATTTCTTTCCTCTAGCGCTGTTCTGTTGTGATCAAATACCAAAATGCACTATGCCAGGAAGTACTTCAAAGTGTAAACACAAGAAAAAGTATCTATAGAGAAGAAATAAAGTTTTGTGGAAGCCATATGACTGTGTTTTGTTTGGAGATGGTCTGCTGTGCCAAAAAAATTTAATGAATATTGTTCTGTGTCTAATTCAAAGAGCAGGATAGGTGCAAGTCACCTACCTCTTTTCTTTGTGTCTGAGACAGATCTACATGTTCTGAGATCATAGTGATTATAAATGTTCAGGAGACAGTGTGCCATCCCTCTCACTTTTTTACTCTAAAATGAAAAGCTTTTTAGATTTGTACCTACTATTCTTTAAAAATAATTTAACTTGATTTATTTCACTCCAATACAAAACACTTTATTATAAAGTTTTACTATGTTTTAGATAAAGGGAATAATGAAGATTTTAAGCCTGGTTTGTCAGTGAGTGACTTGCATACCAAGTCAGAATTGTAGAACAATAGGGTTATTTAAACAGGAAAAGATGTAATCTTGATTTTCATGTAGCTTTTCTGAGTAAAGCTTGTCTTCATGCAAAATATTACATAACTGTATTTTTTGCATTGATATCTGATTTCTAGTGTTGTGTGATTATATAAATACATAGAGTGAATAGAGATTCTTTTTATAAAGCATTAAGTCTATGAAGGTACCAAAAATGACTTTGGATGATGGAATTCCCCCTTTAAAATAGTTCCCACTGAAGAAAACTATTCTTAGCCCGTGACTTCAGGGGCATCATACTTGCAACTTTAGATATCATATGTACACACACTGTGTAAAACCCCTTCCTGTCCTGTTTTCAACATTGGTTATGTTACACATTAGTATTTATTTTTCTTATGCAACTGTTTCTCTTGCATATACAAATACTACTTTTTTTTTTTTTCATAGGAAAGAGGATAATTTACATGTACAGTAAGCGAAGTGGATAAAGACACATTTTTCTTAGGCTCTGGTTACAAAACCTGTTTTTATTTTACACCAATGGATAGCAATTATTTTTCAGTGTGTTTGTTTTTTATTAGTTGAAAACTGTGAATCAGGGTAGTGAAAAATTCTTTTTTTTTCTTCACAAGCTAATCCTAGTTTGTTATGTAGAATTATAATGAAACTGTTAGTTATACACTAACTCAGTGTTTTCACTTGCTGTTAATGGTATTCTGTTTGTGGGATGAAAGATTTTTTCAGTGGTCATGGTATTACTTTTTTACCCTCCTACCCCATAAATTAATTAGTCATTTTAGTTAATGCCAGAGTGGCTTAGTCATTTTGTAAGTATTTCAAGTAGCTGCAAGGATGACACAGCAATGTTAGTAATTAACTATGCCAACCTTTATTCTTATTCTAGTAACTGAACTAAAAATTCACAGTGATGTTGTGTTTTGGCATGTAGTATCTCAGAGGCTTAGCCATTCCCCCAGTCCTGGAGTTATAAAAGTGGCAGTTAAGAGTGTTAGAAAAAATTAATTGGATCCTCTCAGTTTTGTGCTTTGTATCACTGTTATTGAAGAAGAAAGCAAGTGGGGAGGGCTTAGCTTGTGTCTTGACTGGCATCGCATGACATTCTGAACTTGTATTTTTTATTTATTTGTTGGCTCAAAGAGGAAATCCATCAATCTGGGTCAAGAGATTGAGGGGTTTGAGCTGGGTAGCAATTTAGCATGACTCATAACACTCTGCAAAATTAGCTTGCCAAGAAGAAGTGCTTCTGTGAAACAGTGAAGTACCTGGGCTCGAGGTATAGCTGGAAGAGAAATAATTTTGACAGAAGAGCTCATAACAGTCCAGCTCACGCCTTTTGGTGATAACAATGGAAAGAATCATCAGTATTGATCATCTTCTAGCCTGAGCTCTTGCACAGTGCCACGTCACCTTCAGCTCCTCTTTGCTGCAAGGACCCTGGGTGAGCACAGAAGAAGGGGTGAACACAGAATTGAAGACGGAAGCCGGAGAATAGCCAGCTGTCCACAGAGCATCTGTAAGTCATTGTCCTGCACGTAAATCTGGGGACCACGGTTTAGGATTTGATACTCTAGAAGTGGAGTGCTTGGAATGAGCACATCTTGACATTTTCCAGAAAATTAAGAACCTTGAGAAACACTGATGATGTTTCTCTTCATTTTTGTGATGTTTAAGGGTAATTAATTTTGCTGTAAGCAGTTTTGCACATTTGAGCAGTCACATTGTAGCTCTCATGCATGGAGATACATAGTAGGAAGCCGGATAGAAGTATCATGTGATGTTTGCAGCTGAAGTTTCCAGAGTTTATCTGCATTTTAATGGACTAATCTAGTTTTCTTAATTCAAAAGAACTGTCTCCTTAGATAAAAGCTGGTCTCATAATTTATCTGAAAGAAAGATGATTAGCCTTTATTTGCAGTTGTTTCTCTTGACTGATGGAGGCTACTGCAGTGAAGTTTGGTTTTGTTTTATTGTGCCAGCGAGGAGTAAGGACCAAACCAGATGCTACTTGTGCTGCTTTGCTGCTGGCAGCTTCCCTGTTCCGATTCTGGTCCTACTGCCCTGCCATTTTCCCTACACCTGCACGAATGAGTTCATTTCCTTCATCCTCCCCCTCTCACCACTTTCCTCCTTGAGGAAATTGTCCTTTTGCTGTTCGAGTGCTGTGGTGCTGAGCACTGGAGCTGAGAGCAGGAAGATTTCTCTTACTGCACTTCATCTGTGGCCTAACAAGTACCTGTGTGGTGGAGGCAGAATAGCAAAGGTAGCAGCTGCAGGAAGAAAATATAGGAGCTAGAACAGAGGGAGGGAGAAGAGAGGGGAAGTGGTGAAAAGGCAGTGATAGAGGCTTAGTCTATTTCATACTAGAACAGAAGATGGAGGATAAAATCAAACCACTGAAGGAAACTTCTTTTCAAACTGGGAAGTTTGACACAGAATTCCACAGTTTCACTACTGCTTTTGCAGCCTGAAAAATAGCTCTGAGTCCCAAATGTTTCTTGAGTACTGTCTAGGATTGGTCACTGCTGAGGATAAAAGTCTGCTACTGCTGGAAAATGCTCTACCAGCTCAAGTGGTAATATCTGTGACATGACTCTTGGTTGCCTAATCCTACTGTAATCCTGTTGATGAATACTGTAGGGATCGACATGATTCCACATGTTGGAATGGCTGTATTTTTTCTGGTGACTATTCCTTCCCTCTCCAGATATAAAATTATACATAACACCTAATGTCAAATAGATTGATAAAGTTTGTACTTATTCCAGGGGGAAAAGAGTATGTGATGATAATTCAAGCAAAGCTGTAATGCATAGGTTCAAGGAGGCTGAATTAAAGTTGCACGAGCTTTCTGCCTTTTCCTTAAATTAATCTGATAGAGTATAATTATCTGAAAATAACTAAAAGCTTAGCTGTGAGTTTCTGTAACCCTATAAGAAATGCCTATACATCAGGCTTCACAGCAAAATCCTGAAGGCAGAACGCCAGCGCTAATTGCATGAAGTACAAAGTAAACTTATTTCATCATAAAAAGAAAATTACAGATTAGCATCTATATTTGTTTCTCTGTTTTTCTGCACCCCCTGCACGCTGATGTATCTGTGCTTCTTATCTCTGGGTGTGGTACATTTCCTACAGCAGGAAAAGTTCTTGTGGGTTTGGTGTCAAGGGACACACTAATACCTTCTCCTGCTGCTTGGCTGGTGTGGATCACACCCATAGGTTTGCAGTACAGAACTGCAGTATTTCCAACCCGTCTTGCACACAAGTCCAGCTTAAAGAGTCAAAATTACATAGTGGCAGAGTAAGCTGAGCACCATCATAATTTCAAATTGCACTGATACTTGACTTGCGAGTTTCGATCTTTGCTTCCTTCCCCTCCAGCGTGAAGAAATCGCAGTGCTTTTAGATGACATTTTTCACACATGGAGATAAGCAGAAGGCAGTGATATTTCAGACATCATCTACCGGCAGGGCAGCTGCTGTACAAACTGCTAAAACAGGTTAAATGGCAATCAGGAGGGTTTTTTTATGAGTGTCATAGCTAATGCCTTGTCCCTTTCGGTTTTATCTTGTCAGGGCTCAGATGGGAGTTATAATTAAAAGCAGCACAGATATCCAAATAAAAATGTAAGGGTATGCATCGGCTGGAAGCTGACAGGGTTTAAGCAATCACCTGCAGCTGAATTGAGACTCGGATGGGAAGTAGGAAGTGCTGTGCTCAAGCTTCCTGTATAAATAAATGCAGCTTTCCCACAGCTACTGCATACAAGCTGTGACGTGCTTTTAAGATATAATGGCAGCGTGCTCTTAATAGCAGGGAGGGGATGATTTATCCGAGTGGCAAAGGGGCTGGGAGACAAGTCCTGCTGCAGTCCAAAAAAGTGTACAGCTGTCAGATACACCCGGAGAAGAGGAAGGGCGTGCGAGAGCAATCTGCCTCCGCGCCTGGTTGTGAGCTTCAGGGGTTTGTGACATCGTGGTTCTTGGGAACGCTGGAATCTGAGTGCAGCTACTGAAAAGTCACACACAGCTGGCAGTGAATGCTCCTCTCCTTTCAAGGTATGTCGGAATACAGCTTTCTGTCCATTTTTTCCCCTTGAAAGCAACGGATACCCTGAAAACAAGAGAATGCCAGCGTTTGCTTCTGATGGAAGAAAGTAGAAAAGGCTTAGTTAAAAAAAAAAAAGGTAAGAACTAGAATGATTAAAGAGCTAAACCAAATGTTATTTGTGGCTAAAATAGAACTGTGTGGTGCTTAGAGCTGAGGCAAAAGGAAATCTTGGAGTCCTGACGATTAAAGGCACAGAAAATTAAATAGACATCAAGTACTTCCCAAAAGGCTGAAATTACTTTTCTCAGTGTAACTTTTAAAGAAATATCTGTGTGAAGTGTTTGAAAATGCTTCAGTACTAGGACATATCCCTGTGGAAAGCAGTTGCTAAGATGGCATACTGTCAGTCATATATCTGTTTTAGTTTAAATACAAGAACTCCCTTCATACTGCAAACACATCTGATTAAGCAGGAGGGAGCCCGAGTTTAAAATGCAGAGATTTCCTCCTGGTTTAAAGGCATTTCTTCTGCCAGAGACTTGTACAGCTGGCATTGGGAAGGAAAAATATTCTGATCTGTATTATATGTGTTAATGTACACTTCTGTCCAGTGTTTAGAGTTACATGCTTTATGTAAGCACATACTAAACATACAATATTTTCTAGTTTGCATTTTAAATATTTTTTATACTAGGAACAGAAAATTGCATTTATTGGTATGTTTGCACTGCTTTCTCAGCATAAGGCTTTCTCAGTACAAAGCTGCTTTGGTAATGAAGATGTTTCAGTCTGGTTTATTATAAAGCTCTGCATTTTCTGTAATACAAAAGCATTCTGGTTCCTAACTGTATAAGGCAATATCAAACATCTTCCTTCAGAGAGCACTGTAAGTAGTAAAATATTTAGGATGACGATAGTTAAGGAAGCATTGCAGGGTGACTTCCCATCCTCTTGGTAAATAGACACTGAATGCTTTGAAGAAGTAAATTTTAGCAGGGATATAGGCCGTGCTGAAATACCCCCATGCAGCTTTCCAACAGGCTGTGAGCAGGCACAGCAACATGGTATATTTGGCTACCCTCAGCCTGAAGGGCAAGTGGTCTCGGTTAAGGGCAAGCACTGGGTTTGGGATACCAATATTTCTGGAAACAGAAGTTTCAAAATCCTGTCCTTAAATATTTTCCGAAACAAATACATTGACCTGATTCTTGTCCTGTTTAGGACGTGTCTGTGCCTGAATGTGAGTGGGTGTATGGGTTGTCATAGCATGAAAGTGGCTGAAACCCTTCCTGCAGTGAATATAACCTACACTGGAACAAATACAGTGCATTGATAAGGGAATGGCTGTAGTTATGTTGCTGAAAGTAATGCTTTAGATTATGGATTGAGAAGTGTGTGTTTGCAGAGTGTTTGAAGCTGTGGTAAAGTGGGAGGTAGTCCTTCAAATTCAACTAGAGCTATTCCAGAGCCAAGCCAGTATGAGCATCAGAGTCCTTTTCTCCCTTGTATCTTACTGTCCAATAGAGGTATTTAACACAAAGTGCTGTCTGCTAATTAAAGGACACAGAAACCTCCCTACACTGCATGTAGGAATAGCATTTGGCAACCTGGTCTAGTTTCTATTCCCAATGCTGAACTACATCCTGCATTTTCCTCACTGATATTCACGGTCTTCTTTCCCACAGATGGTGACATTTTGGTGGTTTTGTTTGTGTGGTGGTATACTTTGGAGCAAAAGTTAATAATATAAATAGCAAACAATATGGAGCTGTTTCTCTCTAGCTGGGTTCATGGATTACACTATGTTCTCTAAATGCTTCATAAGCTTTGTAGCAATAAAAAACTGGTGTGGAAGTGGTTATCTGGCCTTTCCCTTCTGGTGGAGGGGGAAAGTACTTACTTGTCCTTATTATCATCCAAGTTTAAAATGCAACTGCGAAAAGCAGCGAGTCACTTTACAGGAAAAGAAGCAGCACTAATACTTAACCCAGTTCCCAGTTCATTAGTATGTCTCTGATAATATCTATGGTGTGAGTTTGAGCCCTGTGTCTGCAATCCACCCTGTCCAGACATTGCAGTGACTTTTAGGGGTGAGACCCAGCAGAGTCTATTGCTTTGATATGTAGCTCAAAAAAACTGCTTTAGACTTGCTGTCCCTCTTCTTGAGTGGGGAGTCTTCACAAATGTGCCTGAAAGTACACCATGCCTATAGATTGTACGTATCAGATCCATAAATATCTTCTGGGCTAGTAGTACTGTGACATCTGAGACCATAATTACAGCTCTGGGCCCATGGATGTCACAAACACACGTGAACAAAATACTGTGGCAGGCTGCCAGTGTGGCTGTGAACTGAGTCCATCGGACCTCCTTGCACATAGCACAGCAGACATTGCCTTCAGCTTCATGAGGCTGAAAATGGTTCTCGATCTGTCCTCCTGTGTATTTGCCAGGAGGTGAATTCAGTTCCCTCCTCTCCCTCCAGCTTCCCCATGCCAAAGCCCAGGCCTGTGTAACGCACTTCACAAATTCTCTTCATTACCCAACAGCCAGGAATAACCTTTCATTCATTCCACCTCAAAATTAATCTTCTTTTTTTGTTTGTGGAGGGGAACATTGAGCAAAATGAAAAAGAACAGATCCAAAGGGGAAGACAGAAATGATACTGAGCTCAGCCTCTAGCATTTTGCATTTCTGCTGAAGCCCAGCTGAGCTCCAGTGCTAGACTATGAGCCTTCTCTCTAGTGAGAACTACAGGTCTGAGGGCCATCGTACACTGCAAATTTACCCAAGTCTTGGGCAAATATTTACGGAGATGCTTGCGCCAAATAACTTTGTGCTGACCGGTAAGAAAACCCTGTTCAGTAATCTTTCTCTGTGTCTCTTGTAAATGGTTTCAGCTCAGTGGGAACTGAGTGGACATTACATTCATAAAGTAGATCATTGCTAGCAGATACTAAAACACTCATAAAAAGAAAAAGATAGTATCTCAAATTACAAAGAACCTCATCCTTCACTTCCTACTGAAGTGGGACTTTTCTAACTCTTAGTCTTCCAGGGAGGAGCAGAAGTGCTGAGTGGAAATTTCTATGCTTGAGAGCACGCCCAGGTTAACTGCATTGCAAACATACTTTCAAGTAAAAAAAGTAGCTATATAAAACACACTTTGTTGATGCAGTTTTCTAGATCTCTTTGTATGTGTTGATACTGGCATACAATGACATAAATGTTCCCCATTTCTGGTTCCTCTTATTCTATTTTAATAAAGAAAAAATATTATGGGTTGGCCAAGACCTGGGTGCTTTTTTATTGTATTTCTAGGGGAATCTGCTCAGCCTCCCAGGGAAAATCCATAATCTGTAATTAGAAATACCATCAGTTTAGCTGATTCTTTGAACATCCTTAGTGTCTGCAAGTCGTTTTGACTTTGCTGGAGTTTGGGCTACTCAACTACAAGACCTACAAGCATCCCTGTGCATTGTGTTTCTGAGTGAGTCAGTATCTCTGGAGTCCCAAAGCCAGCCAACACCAGACACAGCGATTTGGGACATGTGAATCTGGCTCCTGCTATAGAATGGTTGACCTCTCTGAAGTAAGGCACTCCCAGACATGCTGTAGTCAAGGGACTGTTTGTTTAAATTATGTTTATATAAAACCTAATGAGAAATTCTGTACCTGTCTGATGGACTTCAAAGACCATAAATACGGGCAATTAGGTGAGGCAGAGTGGGACTATTGTGTGGCTTCAGAATTGGGACGTGATAAGGTTTATTTTTTGGTGTTGATCTGGAGCTGTGATGAGTGAAGATGGTGAAGTCAAGATGTGCAATTCATGAAAACCATAGCCAGCATGTTTCTGTGGAAGAGTCCAGCTTGTGAGTGTGAGTTTGTGCATGCTAGAACTTGTTCCTTGTGTGGAGCTTCTTCCTGTACACTAGAACTTGTTGTAGCCACAGCCATCATGGAGAGTTGTTCTACATGCTTTTTGTCTGAAGGAGAGATGAGAGATGCTGATTAGAAGACAGAGTAAAGAATTACTTTTTTACTGGAAGGAAAAAAAATACCATTTTACTGTCAGGCTCATGTTTCTCCCCTTTAATTGAGAGTGTTAGCATTTGTGTCTCTTGCAAGCTTTTCTGCCTTTCAGTTTGCTGTAATAATGAGGAGGGAAAGTATAAGATGTGAGTCATCACTCAAAGAGTGGACGCTGTCTGGGTGCCTGACAAAAGCTTTGATATTCATGTTTGGTTATACAAACTACTGTGTCTTCGGACTGCCAAGGAGTAAATATGCAGAACTGAAAACCTTTATGTACTTTATATGTTTGCAAAAAAGGATAAAACATGGCAACAGAAGAACTATATCTCTGTGTTCAGGGACTGAAACGGGTCCTTCAAGGCTACCTCTACTTACGCTTTTATGTACTTTATGTTTTTGTGGTTTAGGGGTGCATTCCTTCCTCTTGTATATAGAGCCACAAATCATTCAAAATTGCATGCTCTAAACCCCTTTGTACATAGAAGGAAAAACACATTTCATGACAGCTAGTATATAGGCTAATAATTTGCACGTAAAGAAAATTCCAGGATTAAGTAGAAACTGTGACGTGCAGCAGGCTGACACTGGTTATGTCAGCAGTAGATGGAAAAGTTCATGTGTTCTGCCTGTACTTAATTTTGGAAGCATTCTGATGGGTGGAGGTGGGGAGATGATGAAGGAATACAAGCTGGGCTTCCCCCATTCAACGGTTATGTCTGAGCAGTAGATGGAAAAGTTAATGTGTTCTGCCTGTACTTAATTTTGGAAGCATTCTGATGGGTGGAGGTGGGGAGATGATGAAGGAATACAAGCTGGGCTTCCCCCATTCAAAAAAAGGTTACAAAGATTTAGTCAATGGGTCAAATGAGCTGATCCCGTGGGCTATTACTGTTGCACTCACTCAAATCTTTTTCAGAGCAGCAGGCCCTCAGCTGACCACAGATCCTGGAACCCTTCCCGATGGGGTTTA